CGCGGGGCTAGGACCTCTCTGGCCCCGGCTGCACCGAACCCTGCCCAGCCAGGGGCACGCGGCGTTGGAGGGCAGCCCCACACCTCGCCTTATTCCGGGGCTAGGACCTCTCTGGCCCCGGCTGCACCGATCCCTGCCCAGCCAGGGGCACGCGGCGTTGGAGGGTGCAGCCCCACAGGGGGTCACCTACCTCCCCGGTGCTGGGGCTACACGCATCCTACACAACTGCCCTCAGGGCTCTCCCACCGACAAACCTGCCAGACAGGCCCGGGCGCCCCCAGCTCCACACTATCTGAGTGCGCCTGGCGGTGCCCTTATCGCTCCCCAAGCCTCTCCCAGCCACTCGCATCCACACTGCACCCTTTTCCTTCCAGGACCCCTCCTTTTCAGCGCCACTTTCTTCCTTTCACACCTGACCTGGTCTTTGCTCTTCCGCCCTGGACCCCACTCAGCCCTGGGATGCCTCCGACAACATGGGCATAACCAGGGACCTGTTTTCCCCTCTAACACACACAGCCCACATCCACACAAACACGCCACCCACAGCTCTGATCGGAGAGGGATGTGTGGCTCTGTGTGTGCGGTGATGGGTGGAGGCTGCCCTGTGGCCCCCTCATGATTCACCCTTTCTAAATTCAGATCTTTGGAAAGACGGAGGCACAGTTGGGGATGGGAAGAGAAAAAGCCGGGAGCAGCCTTACATCCTGAGAATCCTATTTCCTGACAGAGGCAGGGGCGGAAGCCTGCTGAGACCCACATCCGCCACCACCGGAGGAAGAGGGGGTGGGCGTGCTGAGGGGTGGTCGGTCCTAGGACCTCCACGGGAGGGGGAGGGGTCCACTCCAGTTTTGCAGGTTAGTAAATCTGGGGGAAGGGGAATCGCTGCCCCTACAGCAGCTCTCAGTGCTGGAGGACAATCCAAAGGCAGAGAGGTGCCGAAGAGAGAAAATCCAATGCAGTCCCCAACCTCGCCCCCTCGGCCCAAGAGGCCTGTCTGCTGGGGAAGCCACAGACACTAATTAACAATTAGGAGTACTAATATCTTAGGGATGGGAGAGTCACACCCTCTCCTCAGAGCAGACTGGGCCCCAGGGGAGGAGTAGCTTTGCCACTCAACGATCAGTGGACACTCCCAGGCTACTCCAGAAGGGTGTTGCCAGCCTTCGAGCTGCTTGTCCCAGAGACATGACACACCATCATCCCCCAGTCTTAACCAGAGGACAGGAAGAGGGGTATTGGTGGTATTTTTCTAGGCACTGCACCCTGGCTTAATGGGGATTGACACTGCATCTCCATTCCTACCCTGTGTTTGTCCAGTCTCTCTCTCTTCCTCTCCAGGCCCGCCTCTCCCCTCTTTCTTGGCCCCCGTCTCTTTCCCCACCCCTGTTGACCAGCTTTGGACCTGTGGGGGTGGCAGGCCTTAGTGGTCAGACAGATCTGCCAGGCATGGCTAGGCTGGTGGCCAATGGCTGCAGTTGTGTGCAAAGGAGGCTGGGGTTGGAAAGAAATTGGAGGGAAGTGGTGAGGGTTCTAGGCCAGACCGGGGAGGGCCGGTTCCTCTCTCCATCCCCCCACGCCCCCCACCCCCTCCAAGCCTGGCCTGTTCCTTAGATGGCAACAGCCAGGGCTGTTATTGCTGGACACAAGCCCATCTGGCACTCGCCCTGCCTGGGCCCCCTGCCAGCACCGGTAGCCCTCCAGATCCACTTCTCTGGGCAGAGATGATTGCTGGATGCCAAGGCCCTCTGCTGGACAGCCTCAGAGCCCAACTCACCCAGCCTGTGCCTGGAGTATTTCAAGCCCCTTTCTGGGCTCCTGCAGGTCCCTGGCTCAGGTGTGGGGTGGGACCCTATTTGAAATTGTGGCTTGTCCCAGACTCCATCCAAGCCTGCCTCACCCCAGGCAGCCTCCCTCCAGCCTTGTTTGCTGGAAATGTTGGCTGGGCCCAGCGTTCTGTCCCCAGCACATGCCTCACGACTGTGTGCGTTCTCAGTTGTGTTTGTGACTACACCTCCATGGCTGGGCTGGGACTAGGGCAAGGCCAGGGAGGTACTTGCCTGAGATGCAAAATGTAAAGGCAGGGGTGCTGCCAAAAAATTCAGGAATCAAGATGAATAATATTGTCATGAAATACTTTTTAAAAATCCTAGTAAATGAAAAACATCCGTGAACAAAACATCAACATTTAAAATAAAGACGGGATCTGGCCCTCGCAGGGTCAGACTCGCCTCACCTTCCTTGAGAGTGGACAGGGGCCTGGGCGTGCCCCTCTGGCCTAATTTCTCACACCTTTGCCCCTTCCTCTGCCCTGGGTGGGCTTTTGACCTTGAGTGGTCAGTCCGTGTTTGAGGCAAAGTCCCAGAAAGGTATGCCCTCCGCCAGAAACCGCAGATTCCCACCCGTGGCCATCCCTCCTCCAGCAGGAACCTAGCTCACCCTCCGCCTCCGGGGGGCTGGGGCCCAGCGCAGACCCCGTCCCGCTCTGCTCCCCGCACACCTGCGGGGACCTGGGAGGGGCGTCGGGAGTTGCGGAGGGGATGGGCAGGAAGTCCTTGGGCCCCGCAGGACCCTGGTCGCCCTCCCGGCCTCCTCATCTCGGGAGAGGGGCCGCAGCCGGAAACCGCAGCC